TGTGTTTTGTTATGAGTTATAACAATTTGAATTAAGTTTTGAAAACTCTTTCCAAAACTCATAACCAAACAAATTTTCTTACTTCACATGTCAAATCAAACTTTCAAAACTCAATTTCACACTCAATTCAAAACTCAATTCAATTCACTATTCAAAAACCATAACCAAACAAATTTTCTATACTCAAATCATAATTTCATAACTTACAAACTCAAAATACAACTCATACTCTCAAATCATATTTACAAAACTCTACCAAACACAACCTTAAATTTTTAAGTGATATCAATTGTGGTTATTAAACGGATTTAATTGGATATCACTTAATACATTCAATTTTAAGTGCTCAATCAAATTATCACATAGTCTTACTAAAAACATATATATCCAAATATCATTGGATGTTTAAATAACATTATTTTTTTAACAATTAATCATATTTAATCTCTTATATTTTTAATAAGATTGTTAGTGTACCTACAATTAGTCATATATTAATACCAAAAACAAATTCATAATTTCATATTTAAAAAAAAAAAAATCTAAAGTTAATAATGCTACCAAATATATGTTAAGTATAAAAGTCAATACAAAAGTTAACAAAATTATGAATATAACAAACACCACAACTAGGTGGGTTCATTCCATCTCTCTAAAATAAAATCAGAAATAAAGAAGGAAAAAAAAAAAAACCTTAGATCACAGATTAAGGCTTTTTTGTTTTTGTGGTCTGGCACTCAACGAAGCTTGTTGTCAAACAATTTTGATTTGAAGTTTGATCAACTCTCTGACTATCCAAGTCTCTCCAAGAGCTCCCACTCTCCTTAACTGCTTCCACTGCCTGGTCTTTCAGTTCCTTTGCTCTCACCTTCTGGACACTTGTGTCTCCACTCATTGAATTAGCAATGGTCTGAGCCAACTCAGTCGAGTCAGGGACCGCATCGGCACCCTCGCACACACGGACCCCAGCTCCTACGTCCTCCACCAACAGCCTTGCGTTCACAAATTGGTCTGCTTCCATGGGCCACGCCAATATCATCACCCCAGCCATAATTCCCTCCAACACCGAGTTCCACCCGCAGTGACTCAAAAACCCACTCACCGCTCGGTGACTCAATATCGACATCTGTGGAGCCCACCCCTTTATGACCATACCCGTTCCCAATACCCGATCCTCAAATCCATCGGGTACAAACCCGTACCCGTCCTCTACTTGTTGGGCTGTCACTGACTTGACCACCCAAACGAATCGGATCTTGCTATGCTCAAGCCCAGCAGCCAAGGCTTCCATTTGGTCCCTCTTCAGCAACTTCTGACTCCCGAAGCAAACATACAAAACTGACCCATCCGGGCACCCATCGAGCCATGCCAACACCTTGTCTCCTGAATCCTTATCCGGGTTGATCCGACCCATGGTTTCAGCCCCGGCAAACAAACTAAGAGGCCCAACTACCCACACCCGTTGATGCCCCATTTTGTTCTTCAAGTGATCCAAATACTCACCTTCCAAGGCATCAAGAGAATTAAAAACACAGCCCCAACTGGTTATATTAGCGAGCATGCTATCCTTAAGAAACTCCCCATCAGGATCCGATTCCCTATATGCCCGGTATATAGAAGGAAGATGATCGGCAGCGAAACTCGGCGATCTTGGTAGATCGGGAAAATGAACGACGGGTAAAGAGCGGACAGTGTCAATATTTTGCCAAAGGAAATTAGTGACACAGATTAAAAAAGAGGCAATTGAGTGAAAAACGATCCTGGGGATACCAAGTTGGTGGGCAAGGTGGAGGGTCCAACCAAGGAAGAAATCAGAGAGGATAGCCACAGGGGGTGATGGGTGGGAGTTGAACCAGTGGATTATTGGATCGTGAAGCTGGCCGAGGGCGTTGATCATGGGTAAGTTGCCTGCGTTGCCGATGTCCGTGATGTTCTCGACGCCAGAGGGGAGAGACGGGTGCGATGGGAAGGGAAGGACCAGGGTCTGGATTGAAGATGGGTGGTGGGTTGAGAGGAGAGGGTGCAGGATTGGGAGGTTCTTTGGTGTCACCAGAATGGTTATGGTGATGCCACGGAGGGCTAGTTGGTGGGTTAGGTCCAGCAGGGGTAACATGTGGCCTTGAGCTGGGTATGGAAATATCAGGATATGAACTGGCTGTAACTGAGGATGGGGACGCGCAGTTATCACTGTAAAGTAGAGAGAGAAAGTGTGAGAGAGGTCTTGCGAGTTGACAGAGGTTTCAAATTGGTTGAGGTCCGGCAGGTCTCAAATTGGTTGAGGTCCGGCGGGCGGTTAAGGCAAAGTTGCCGCCCGCCGGAAGGCGAAAAACACCAAGATCTTTAACCTATAGCTCTGATACCATGTAAGAAAAATTGATAGAGAGAGAGCAAGTGAATAAATGAGATGTATTATGATTGATATTCTGAATGTTGTGTATATTACAAGGATTTATATAGGAGAGGATTTGAGAGTAGGTGAAGGTGGTAGTGGATGTGTTAGGTGGAGTGGGTGGTTTACTATTTACAATTTACATTTTACATTAACAGTGGGAAATGTTAATTTGGTATGGTATTTCCAAAAAAATCAAAGTGACTTCACAAATTGTTAAATTTGTTAAAAGTATCCAATGAACTGATCATATGTTCGTAAGATACACCCTTTTAAACTGAACTCAAAAATTAGCACAGCCATTATCCTTATCACAGCCAAAGAAAAATGCCCAAAAATATCATCAATACAAGATATCTCGATGGAACTTCTCTACTCTAGAAGTGAATTAGGACTGCAGAAAATGAACCTCTAAAGTACATGAGATGATAAGTGAACATGTACAAAAAGAAAAAGATCACCCACACTGTCATGGTTTCATTCAACCCAAAAGATCTGACCCTAAAATTCACATATCATAGAGTTGATGCGAACATATCTTAAAAAACTAACAGATCAGAGCAATTAGTACTGTATTCAAACAAAACCCACTATTATTTGGGGCGAATCTGTTGAACATCTACGAAATATGGCAGCTTGCCACAATCCATTGATTCATGTATAGAATGGAAGGGAAGAGATTTACATCGGTGGGAAGGCAGCCGATGAAGACTGGCGAGCAAGATAGCCGACACAAATGGGCCATGAAGATTGGTGATGACAATAGCTGACGCAAATCGGTGATGTTCGTTTTCTGTTGATGGCAGACCACAATTTACCCAAACACTTGAAGAGAGTCAGAAGTGAAGAAGCATGAAGGGGAAGAGGTCTGCCCTAAACTTCCAGAGATTCTTTTACTGTGTCATTTGCTTTAAATGTTGAATCCGGATCCTCCGTCGCCCTTTCCTGCGGCGCTCCCTGTCGCCCTCCAAAACGACGTCGTTTTGGAGGGTTTTTTGTTTTTTTTTTTTCTTTTCTTCTTCTTCGTTCTCTCTCCACTGATTCCATATCTGTTTTCCTCTGCAACTCCATTGCTATTTTTTAGGACTAGTGGAGTGAAGAAAAGAATACCCACTACTTCTCACAAAGAGATAAAATAGGGAGGAGAGAGAAAGAGAGTGTGCGATACAGTGAACCCATCTTTTTGTTTTGTTTTGTTTTTCAGGTTCCTTTGAATTTATGGGTCTTGTCTGCATCGAAAGCTCTTGAAATCTTTAACTACGGTGATAAAAGAACAGAAAAGAAGAGGAAAAAAACCAATTTTGCTGAAATATTATTATTATTACTAGCAGTGAAGGATACAAACAAAACCGTATAAAGCAAACCGAAATACAACTCCTTTTTTCGATTTTTGTTTGTTTGTTTGTTTGTGTTTATTTGTGTGTGTGTGTGTGTGTGTGTCTAGTACTGATCATGACTCGGCGATAGCTTTGCTCCCATGTCGGTTGTGAGAGATTGGGAATGAGAATGGGTTTCTTGCTGATAAACTAGAGAAATAAAGTGCGAGAAAACCGGGGAAAAAGTCGACTCTTTGTTTCTTGTTATTTTCTCGGATTTTAGCCATGGAGGTCACAGTTTTTTAGATTACAGAAGAAGATAGAGATCGAATTCATGGTTGCCTATTCTGATTTTTTTGATTTTTGGGTTTTATTCTTTGATAGAACTCCAAGGTGGGTCTTGCAAATTCATGGCGGTTTCTAGCTAAAGTCCCATTTCTTTTCTGGTCCGTAGTCTCTCTCTCTCTCTCTCTCTCTCTCTCTATATATATATATATATATATCTATATCTATATATCTATCTATCTATGTGTGTATGAATATTTGATGGGTTTTGGTTTTGATGATTTGTTTTGGGTATGAACAGAGAAGACTGATGTTGAGGAAGAGATCAAGAGCAACAAGTAAGCAAGCTCTAATGGCGGATCATGGTTATTCCCCATCACCGAAGGAGCCTTTTCTTTTGTTTCTTGAATTTTTTTCCTTAGGCATTGGAAAGGTAGGCCTCTTCTAGATTCCTCATCTCATGCTCATGTCACAAAAAAGTTATCATATTCCCTTCAAATGCTTCTTGACTTGATGCCTTTTTGTTCTTAAAAACCTCCACTTCTCTGCATTTCCTCCTCAGAGAGAGAGAGAGAGAGAGAGAGAGAGAAAATATAATATATACTTATTTATAGTAATAAAAAAAATAAACACATGTATGTAAAATAAAATAAAAAAATTAATTAAAGTACATTATGTAAAAAATATAATAAATAAATAAACTAATATATATATTAAAAAAATTAATTATTTTTTTTCTTCTTCTCTTCTCTTCTTATTAAAAAAATTAATAATATACATATTAAATACTTTCTATGTTGAAAATTGTGTTATATTAATATTTTGCTTAACATTTATAACTTGCGCCTCGCCTTGCGCCTCGGCGCTCAGGCTCCAGGTGACCTTGGCGCCTCGATGCGCCTAGGGCTTTTTAAAACACTGTACCTGCCTAACTCGCTTATTTATAAAACATTAATATTAATTTTATATTATTTAATTATAAAATTAATTAGACAAATAACAAAAATATAAGAAAAGTATATATATGTATTTATTTTTATTGGGTTAGGTGGGTCGATTTGGAATTAATTTTTTTTCTAGATAACAACCAAGAAACTTACAAGATAAAGAAAAAAAGAAAGAAAAATAGAACAAATCCCATAAGCCCAAATAAAGAAACCTACACAAACAACAAAAACCTGTCACGAAAAAAAAAAAACACACACACACACTGGCAACCATGGGTTGCCAAAGCACATGAACACCCACAACAGTAATGGGTAACCATTATGGGTACTGATAATCCCAAAATTTAAGAACGATGAAAGGAGAAAGCACTCTGTGTCAGAATTACATAGAAGCTTTCAAACTCTTCTCTGTATGCATAAAAACCCAAATCTACTACATGACAGAAGTGTATTTGGAGCTTATCGAAGAAGCGTCAGAAAGTCGTTGAATGGGGGTCAAGAAACTTTAGAGAAAGGAAGTCTCACACCCCTCTTCACAGGATTGTCACAAAGTCATTGGAGGGGATATTGGGAATCTCCTGAGATAGAAAGTCGTGCACCCCTCCATGAGATTTCAGTGTTGATAAGTAACTAATTAGTTGAGAGAAACGAGAGTGAGAGAAGCGAGAGTGAGAGTAGCTCATGTAAAAATATATATACGAACATTAAAGCGTGTAATGTGAAAATATACACATGGCTATTAAAGTGCTTGTTAAATAATATGATATATGCAAGGTTGTTAAAATCGGGATCCTACGTTGGATCGTTGGAGGTGTTTATAGGATCGGATCGTAGAATCGGATCGAGGATCGTAAGATCCTACCGAAAAAGACATTACATAATAATTTAATTTAAATAAATATTTCTTATAAAGTATACACAAAATGAACTTATATTCTATTAAAAAGAAGTGAAGATATTGTGAAAAATATAATACTCCATGTAAAATGTACATATAATATTATGCAATAGAAAACCTGACGGTAAAAGTTCTGTATTTTATCAAAAAAGAAGGTGAAGAAGAAGAAGAATTTTATAACAAAATACTTTACAATGTACAATAATGCATAAAAAGTGAAGAAAAAATATTTAACAATATTGGAAATGAAAATAGATTAAGAACTCAAAAGAGTAGCTTAGTCGAATGATAAGGTTTGTCGTTAGCATCCCTAGTGGAGCGGATTCGAGTCACAAAAATAATTTCTCCAGAAATTGGGATAAAGTTACAATCATCTTACCCTTCTTAGACTCCGCTAAAGCTAAGCTTGTTTTTCCGACTATTTAATTTTCTTAAATTACCGCAATATTTGAATGTTTGTTTCCTAGTTTGTTTTTCTTAGTCTATTTGATTCAATACTACTTAATTTTTAATATTTATTTTGACGACATAAATTGGTATTTAGACAACAAACATAAAATTTACAACAAAATATGTCATACAATACAAAACAAGACTTATAAATTGGATCGGATAGAATCGGATTCGGATCGGGATTCCACGATCCTATAAGATCCCATTACTAGGATCGAAAGATCCTACCTACAAAGAGTTTTTTACATGATCTGGATCGATTGTACTCAAATGGATCGTAAGATCATAGGATCGTAAGATCCGGATCGGGATTCTGATAACCATGCATATATGTATGGGATCATATATACAGAAACTAGTGAAAAAGCACGTTCTTTGCATGTGGCGTGTAAGACTACTTCAAAATTTCTTTTATAAAACAATTCAAAGCAAATAAAAAAAATGAAAAAAAAAAAAGAAAGAAAGAAAGAAAGAAAAATCTTGCACCTTCAAGGCTTTCTAATTTCATCGATTGTCCTAGAAACAAAACAAAAATTAGTGAAAAAAAGGCATCGAAAAAAAATAAAATAAGAATTGGTACGATAATATATTGAAGTTTGTTAAAGGAAAAAATCTTTTCAAAGATTTGCAAAATAAAAATATAATGACCTTACAAGAATTGTTGTGGGTTTAATCAAGAACATGAAATCTTAAAAACTAAACACATTTTTATGTCAACATAAAAATGCCTTTTGAAAAGGGGCCTTTTTACAATATACACTTTTCTTTTTTCTTTTTCTTTTTTATGTATATTTTATGTAAGTTATGATAATTTATAGCGTTGATATCACAAACGTTATAGTTAAATTACTTAACAACTAGTTGATTGCTTGCCAAAAAAATGGGATGCGTGGTAATAATGAAATTAATAACCAAAAAAATAATGGACAATACTATTAATTGGCGATTAGTTCAATAAGAACATTCTAGATAAGTAACTAATTTGTTTTCGATGAAGAAATGCAGTTTATATAAAAACCAAGCAACTTATAAGATAATGAAAAGGAAAAATACGACAAAGCCCACAAATCCACACAAAGAACCCATTCAAACTACAAAAAGACGCCAAAGAAAATAATTAAAAAAGCAACGATTTTGAAAACTTCTAATCTTTTTACAAATGTAGTGAAGAAATAAGATTTTTATCAAACTTAAAACCAAACCCATTGTCGTCGTCGTCGTCGTCGTCGTTGTTGTCGCTCAAACTCCACCGTTGCCATCTCGATCATCAATAATTGTGAGAATATTAGGTTTTATGTATATATGGTATCATATATATATTTTGTATATATTAGGGATTGCTTCATTTTCAATCCTAGGTTAGATTGTTATATAAATTGATATACTCTTGTATTACATACACAATTGAATATACGAATTTAAGGGTATTCCCCCAATCTGATGGCCCTAAGAAATTGTTAGCACTTAAGAGGTTTCGATCCCTGAACTTTGGAGGGAGCACACCTCCAATACCCAAGGCCTTGCCCCTAGGCCAATTACAGGAGAACTATAGAAACAACAACACCGTCTTACAAAAATCTATTGTTTTAGATTTATTAACATGAATCCAATTACAAAAAAAGAAAGCAATCTCTCTCCTATATGGGAAGTAAACTATGGATGGATTATGTACATCAATTGTATGCCAGCCTTAATCAACCAATCAAAACCTAATCAATTATGATGTTTCCCAAGGCCAATTTCAAAACCGTGAAGTGAAACGAGTAAACCAAGCCCTCTTTGATGATCAGATCAAAGGATGATAATACAGTTGACGTATTACAATGGCCAAAATTGGACACATAGGGCTCACAGGGATGCAATAGTACTGCAAGCAGTGGAAATAAACAATGGATGAACTAAAATGTGAAAATGTAAGATGCTGACTGTCATAATTGAATGTTAAAGACTAAAATGAGATTTCGATCAAAGTACGACCCTAAACATACCAAAACTTACAGCTAGCAGAAGTTGGCAATCGAACTTAGCTCCTATGTAAGATGCTATTTCAAGGACTACAACCTACTTTTCTGGAACTTTTTTTTTTTATTTTTATAATCAATTTGCAGTTCTAAAACTAAGATTCAATATTCAGGTTTCTCAAACTGGACCAATCATATTCAATTTCTGGAGCTACATATCGTCCAATTGATCTTTGAAATTTTCCAATAAAAAACAAACTGAAAACTCAAACAACACAAATGTAGACCAAATTAATAGACTCAATCCAACCCTGACTATGTGAAGAGACCAAGTTGAGCCTTCCAAACTTGAACACGGTTTTTAAATTGCAATTGCATGTTAAATCAAATTATACCAACGTAGTATTTGTGCTTCTATATTTCATCTCTCTTTTTATATTCTTTTATTTTTTTTATAATTGTTATTTACGCAGTTTTGAACACAATTATTGGTTCCTATGTAAACTAACACCTTACATCTCTTGATTTGTTAAGGAAATTCATTTTATTCTGGAAGAACTAGTGAGGCAATGTGGACTTACAAGATCTTTTTCATAATTTTTTATTTATTCCCTAGAAACATTTTACAAAAGAAGAAGCATAGTCTCTCTCCTGCCCTCACAAGAAGGAACTACCAATAATTAATGACAGTTGCAAACAACGGATTGTTTCAATATATTCTACTCCTTCCTAGAGCATTTTAAACCATTCCACCCAACTACATCATAACTAGGAGATTAAAACCAGAAAGTGAATGAGTTTAACATACCCTCTTTGGTAATCAGAACAATCTAAATGATACTTGAGTGAATGAATTACTGTGGTCAAAACAGGGCTCACATATAAAACAACAAAATTGATAATTCAGCCTTAATTGATGAATGAAGAATCTAAATATCAAAAGATGATAGTAGCATAGCATCACAGACCAAGAAACTAACAATAACAAATACTTAAACAGATAGAAATATAGAAAAGTTTATTGAGGGACATACCGTCTGCTGAAGAAAGAAGTAGAAACATGTAGGACAACGATCAAACAGGTGATAGGCTTTCAATGAATTGATAAGTATTACACCAACTTGGTCGCCAATCATCAAGATCATCTGTTGATAAATCATAAAGCTCCTTCAATATGTTGGACTTGACATTATAAGAAATAACTTTGCCCCGGATAGCAAACACCAGTGTAAAATCTTTTTCATTCGCTCCCTTCACGACACAGAGCACATTAAATTCAGAGCATGTGACTATGGTTTTGCATTCTGTTTTAGGAAATACAGATAAAATGGATCTAAGATTGACCCGGTACTTCACAATCCACCCGCAGTAATCCCTGTGCATCTGAAGGACGCTGAATCCCATAGCACAAGGCTGAGGAGTCTGAATAAGAAGCAAATCACCACCACATCCTCCAAAATACCTAATCTTATCAGGAGAAATGATTTTAGGGTTTTGAGGCATTGGGGTTTGTATGAATTTCTCTTCCTCAACCTCAAATCGAACATGAACATTCGCATAGGTTATACAATGAATTGCTCCGTTCCAAAACACGCTGAACATGAATGGCACACCTCGCGGATCAGGCACAGAAATGTGTTTCCAAGACGAAGTCTGGGAACTGTAAATTTCAATTTCAACCCAGCGTCCATTATTAACATAGCTGGAACTAAACAATATAACTTTGTAGTGAGGCGATTTCGAAGGATCAAAAGCCAAGAAAGCAGCAGCATTTTTACGATACGATTCAGATGAAGTTGGACCAATATCAGGAAGAAGTGAGAATTTCCTTGTGGTGAGATTACAAACAATATATGGGGGTTTTCTGAAACCATTAGAGCACAAGATTAAACCATTGCAAGAGCGTTCAATCGTAGTTGTACAACTTGATACAACGACACCATCGAGAAAGGAGAGTGTGGGAAGAAGAGTTTGGTGTCCAGCAATTGATACAGACTGGGGTTGTTCATCGAGAGACCAACGGTTTGAGTAGAAATATAAGGCTGAGACGGAGGAATGGTGATTTCGGCGAGCGTGGTCGGAGGCGAATTGGGAGTCGGAGATGAGAGAGAGCCATTGCTTTGAGACCGACTTGAATCTGATTAGGGATTTTGCTGGGACTCAGATTAGGATCTCTATTAGGAGATCTGAATTGTTGGCAATTAATTCAGCAGCGAATGAATGTTCTGAGGAAGTACAGCCGATGATAAGCCTTCTGCTTCTTCTTCTTTTGCTGTATACTTTCATGGTTCAATTTTTACTCTGCAAGAATAGAGAATGCCCTACAGGGGACAACTTTTATAAACAATCTTTGTTGGGGATGGCTACAGATGGCAATTTGAAACCGGCCCGATAAGAGACCCAACTCCCTGATTCCGAATTGTGCGGGTTTTTCTCGAATATACTCTCGACGGGATGGGAATGGTATTTAAAATAAATCCCTGAACAGATTTGGGCTGGGGACGGGGATAAATGTCCCAGCCCCATACCCGGCCTGTCCCCTTTCTCGGGCCCGGTTTGTCCCCGAAATGAAATTACTAGTTTACCGATATATATATATACACACACACATAGTAACCAAACCAAACCCTCATCATCTCCAGTTTTGTCTTCCGTCCCTCTCTCTCTCTCTTCCCTCTACTCTCTCTCTCACTCTCACCACTATCGTGACGCAGTCACAGCCACAGCCACAGCCACCCATCGCGACGCCGATCGTCCTCCTTCAGCCACAGCCTCCCTCCTCTCTCTCCGATCTCCATCGCTGCGCTGCCTCGCGCCGATCTCCATCGCTACGCTGCCTCGCGCCAATCTCCATCGTTGCGCTGCCTCGCGCCGATCTCCATCGCTGCCTCACTCCGATCTCCCTCCCTCCCTCCGATCTCCATCACTGGCTCTCGTCCCTCTCTCTCTCCTCTCCATCACAGCCGATCGCCTTACCAACGCTTTTGAGCTCAGATTTTTATTGAATGTATTGAATGTGTATGTGTTAGATTTTTATTTTTTATTTTTTATTTTTGATGAATATATATGCTTGCTGCAGATCTGTTTGATGAATATATATGCTTGCTCAGATTTGTTGATTATGATGTTGTTGATGAATAGAATATATGTGCTTAGATCTGTTGTTGAATGTTTATATTGTTGTTGTTTTTTTTATTTTGGCCGGGGAATTTTCGGGGTCGGGGAAACCCGATCCCCATTAGGGAGCGAGGGCGGGGGCAGTGATAGGCTCCCCATCGGGGATCGGGGCCGGGGACGGAGAAATTTCTACCATCGGGGATCGGGGACTGGGAGGGTGATCCCTAGCCCGCCCCGGCCCGTTGCCATTCCTAGGGATGGCGTTGATTTAAAGGGCCTCTTTGGGTTGGGACTACCAATTTACACCTTGGCTGGCTTTAATTTTTTTGGCTGGCGTTAATTTAAAGGCTACTACTTGCTTGTTTCCAGCAACCTCTGCTTAGGTTCACTATTGGAATCATATAAGCCTTGTTTGGTTTGATTTTGGGAGATAAGTTTTTAAAAAATATTTTAGGAAGAGAATTTAGAAATTTTTGTAGTTTATTTGGTTATATATTTTGTAAATAGTTTTGGAGTTTGGGATGATTTGATATTTTGTTGTAATTGAGTAGATGTATGTGAAAGAAAAAGTGATTGAAAATGATAGAAGAGAGGGAAAAAGTGATTGATTGATGTATAAGAGAGAGAGTGATTTTGGAAATTTTTTGAGAAAAATTACAAACCAAACAATATTTCCAAAAATTTTCTCCAAAATCTTTTTCCCAAAGCCAAACCAAACAAGGCCATAAATTTTGTGGGGACGTATTTTTACGGCCGTGTCACGTGGTCGAGGTGTTAGTTGAGGTGTCTCGTGGGCGAGCCATGATGTCGAGGTTGTTATGATATTGTCGAGATATGATGCAGTAATGTTGGAATTCGAATAGAGGACACGAGTTCTAGATGACATCAAGCTACCTATTTGGATAGAGATGTGACTTTTGAGGAAGTTCATCTTAATCTTAATAGTGTGAGTTGTGATAAATGTTATCCTTATAAAGGATAGAGTATCGTGAAATAAGACTTCTAGGGAAAATTGGACACTGATCATTATAAAAGTGAGGCACCATGTGGGTCTAAGGTATGCTCTGACTTATGCATTGAGTACTTGTTTGATATCTCTGAGAGATAAGTTGGCTGTCTTAATCATCGGAGTGCCCCGGGTGAATGAACCACCACGGTATTCTCATCTTCTTGTTGACAAGTAGTTGGCTTAAATTATTCTGTCCCGTGCTCTCTAGTTTAGTTCTCTATTTAGTTGTGTGGTCGGAAATCATCACCCACAAATATATACGGTGAATTACACTAACGGACATTATAGTTTGGTATTTGTATTATTTTGATCTCTAACTTTTCAATTGTGATATACTGGACCTTGAATTTTGAATATTGTTTCAAATAAAGAGAATTGAAGATATCATTGGATTTTTCAATGACAAAATCGTCAATTTGATAAAATATAAATTAATTCAGCAAAAATAAATGTCAAAAAAATATTTTTAAAAATTATTTCTACCCACTAAAGATAAAATTATGTAAAATTGATTAATCTTTTAGGCATTTATTTTTTTTTTACGAAATTAATTTTTATTATGTGTTTGGATGATAATTATGTAATGGGTGGTTGTTTTTGTTTTCATTAAATTAGTTTCTATTTTTTTTTTCAAAAGTCAAATATGGCGACAACTTTGATATCATTATTAAACCAATCTATTAAATCAAAAAAAATCAAAAACTAAAAACATTTCATATATTAAATATATCAATCACATATTAAAAACTTAACAACTATCCATTACATGATCATCATCCAAACATATAATAAAAATTAATTTGGTAAAATAAATAAATAAATGTCTAAAAGATTTATCAATTTTATATAATTTTATCTTTGGTGGATACCAATAATTTTTAAAAATTAAAAAATATTTTTTTGTCATTTATTTTTGTTAAATTAGTTTATATTTTATCAAATTGATGATTTTGCCCTTGAAATTAAGCAATGGTATCCTCAATTGTCCTTATTTGAAACAAGATTCAAAATTCAGGGTCAAATATGTCACAATTGAAAAGTCAGTGACTAAAATGACATGAGCCCCAACCTATAGAAACTGTTAGTGTAATTCGCCCAAATATAAATTATTCATGAAAATTCCTTTGGTAGGTTGGGTTGGGTTGGGTTGGGTTGGGTTGGGAGGTTAAAAGATTAAAATAGTCATAAAAATATAAAATAAGTTAAAAAATTAATAAGATAAAATGCCATATCTAAATTATAATCATTTCACTTTTTTTCTTATAAAATTTTTTTTTTTAAAAAAAAAGTAAAAAAATCTAATTCAAACGAGACCTTTTAGCCCAAACTAAAATAATTAAAAAGTCAACCCACTTCCCAAACGAAACCAAAATAAGCATACATTGGTATAATAAGTTGTAGGACGCCAAATTCCCTCTTGCCCATAATCTGGATTAGAAGGTGTTGTTTGAGCCCGTAGAATTTATCATGAGTTTCGTTTTAGTGATTAAAGCTGTTCATTTTGTCAGATATTTTATATGTTTCATACAAAAAAAAAAAAAATTGATCAATCCGATAATTGTAGTAAATTTAATTTATCATGTTTTTCATAAAAAAATAAATAATTTATTTTTAAAAATACAATTATCACTATTTTTTTAATAATTAACCTAATAAATTAAATAAAATACAATTATCAAATGAGAGCTTTTTTTGATAAATCCCTTTTCTAAGACTTTTATACCATAAAACCCAAACCATTTTTGATTATCCCATTAGGTCCCATTCATTGTAGTAAGACCAAAATACCTTCCCTTTTGAACGCGCCTATTCCATTCCCAAAACAAAACTGTTCCTATTCCATATCTTCCCAAATTTCACTCCACAAATCATTCATTCCCCAAAATTGTCATCATTGCCTCCCAAATCGTAATCCTAGGTTTCACATCGCTTCACTACCATCCTACTATCATCCTCTGTCGCCCACTGTTGCCAGCCACTGCTATTCCGCTTTGTCTCACCGCTGCGAAGGTTTACATCGAAAGAAGAGTGGTTGGTTCTTCTGTGGTTGCCGTCGACCAACTGTTTTTCCTCAGTTCTGGGTATTTCCAGACCCCCCTTCCCCCATCCCCACAATAAGGAGCAAACTTAAGCATCATCCTTCTACCCTCTATTATTCACTTGTTAATATAATCACTGATGTATACATCTACATTGACTTATTATTGTTGTTTTTGAATTTGATTTTGTAATGAACTCTCTATTTTCACTATTTGTCAATGTTGGTTTTGTTGATTTTTTGTTCAATAGGAATCAAATAAACCGATGTATACATTTACATTAACTTGTTATTAATGTTTGTGGCCGTGATTTGGTAATGAACTCCCTATTTTCCCCCTCAATGTAGGTGTTGTTGATTGTTGATGGCAGGGACGGATCCAGGATTATGTCTTTGGCGGGGGCTACTCCATAGTTTAAAAAATTTGGGGGCTACTCTATATAATTCTGAAATTGTCTACAAAAAATTTGGGGGTGCGAACTCCTATAATTTTAAGTTATTTTAAAAATTTTAATATAATATATGGTATTTTTCAAAATTTTGAGGGTGCGGCCGCCCCTCCCCAGATCCATCATTGGTTGATGGTCATTTAATAATTAGAATAGAACTCCAAATTTTCCACTATGTTCTGGCTATTAAAGGTAAATTGTCTCTACAGTATGATTTAAGACGATGTAAATATTTACATCATTTTGGCAACTATTGTTATTGAGTGAAAACAGATGTCAACATTGACATCATGGTTAGGAACCAATGTAAACGTTTACAATTTGATTTTGTAATGAACTCTCTATTTTCACTATTTGTCAATGTTGGTTTTGTTGATTTTTTGTTCAATAGGAATCAAATAAACCGATGTATACATTTACATTAACTTGTTATTAATGTTTGTGGCCGTGATTTGGTAATGAACTCCCTATTTTCCCCCTCAATGTAGGTGTTGTTGATTGTTGATGGCAGGGACGGATCCAGGATTATGTCTTTGGCGGGGGCTACTCTATAGTTTAAAAAATTGGGGGGCTACTCTATATAATTCTGAAATTGTCTACAAAAAATTTGGGGGTGCAAACTCTTATAATTTTAAGCTATTTTAAAAATTTTAATATAATATATGGTATTTTTCAAATTTTTTAGGGTGCGGCCGCCCCTCCCCAGATCTATCATTGGTTGATGGTCATTTAATAATTAGAATAGAACTCCAAATTTTCCACTATGTTCTGGCTATTAAAGGTAAATTGTCTCTACAGTATGATTTAAGACGATGTAAATATTTACATCATTTTGGCAACTATTGTTATTGAGTGAAAACAGATGTCAACATTGACATCATGGCTAGGAACCAATATAAACGTTTACACCCTCTGTTACTGTTGTGGGTTTTATCTTGTCATGTGTTATTGTTTTGTAATACACTCCCTATCTCACCCCTTATGTCAATGTCGGACTTGTTGGTGTTGTTGGTTATTCATGGTGATCAAATAATTACAGCCCTAATTTTGGATGGTTGCCAACCCTGTTTTAGTTCAATGTGACTTCTTGTAGGCATGTTGTAAATAATAATATCTTATTGTTTCCCTTGTTATTGAGTAACAACCAATGTGAACATTCGCATTCTGAGGCTAGCCATTTTATAAATTTACATTATGGTGTTTGTTGATTATC